AATGCTTACCTTCAAAAACCATTAAAAGCAATCAAAGATTTCCCTCCAATTATTAGAGTAGAAAGACTTGACCATTCCCAGAGTAAAAAAAAATAATCTTATTATCACAGACTACAGTCTTTCAAGATAAAATACAGAGATTAAAATGTAAATAAAACTTTAATTAATTTTTTTTTTTAAATACAAATTATCAACTTTGTATTAAATTATCAAAAAGCAAAAGTAAGGTTATTAATTTTCAAACCATATCTGAATGAGTAAAATTGGAGATGAGGAAGTATCTTTGCCAGTTTGGAATCCAGCATCCATACAACACACAAGCCATACTAAAAGCAATTATTACATTTTACTTTTTTAAGAGTAGATATCAATTGGAATAAAAATGCTAGATTACCCAGATCAAAATTTAATCATAAAAAATGAAATTATCTTCATCAAAACATTTAATTTAGAAAAACTATTTCCTATTCATAGGCCAAATTATTTATATACAATATAGTGTATATATTACATAATTAAGTTCCAGGTTTTGGTTTTTGTTTTTTTTTTTTTTTTTTATAGGCTTCAACAGAATGCTTAAATATTCTGGATTTACCCCAGAGTACAAGGGCTTTCCTCAGTCGTTCCAGCCACTCAGTAGGGCTTTCATCTTTCTTTTGCATTCCATTAAATGCTTTATTGATATTCTGGCCACGGGGTACTGCTTCTCTAATTCCCTGAATTACTATAGTTCTCAGGTCCTGCATATGAGTTCTATGCACCGGATCCTGATTACCCAATTAGGTCTTTGGAGTGGCCATTTAATATCTGCTTGAGGTCCCTGGTCATGTTGAGCATCCCACAGTCTCATTCCTGCTCGTCTAATCATATCTCTTTCCTCGGTAGTAAATAATTGACCAAGGATAGATTGCATCTCATCCCAAGTATAAAGGTTTGGTCCCAAAAATTGATCTAATCTTTCTGCCACTCCGAGTGGGTCTTCAATTAAGTTTCCCATCTCTGTTCTTTTAAAGTCCCGTAGGTCAGCCGAGTTTAAGGGTACGGAAATATATCCGATCACAGGTTGAGGTCCCCCCATAGGCATTTCCCTTAGGGGGTACATCTGAGCTGCCCCTTTTTGACTTCTAGTTATGCGTCTAGGAGGAGGGGGAGACCCCTGTTCCGACTCTGGTGGGGGAGTGGGCGCTCTGGGGACCTCTGGAGGGGCTGCGGGAACAGGAGGAGGAATGTAAGGAGGCGGGATCAGAAGGGTTTCTTCTAACTCTTCCTTCTTTTTCTTTTGTTTAGTTTTTATTTCATTCAGCGGATAAAGTCTAGCTCCTGGTCTTTCTAGCCACACTTCCGCATACTGACTCTCCTCCGGGTTAAGGGGTTTTTTATTATTAACCCAGAGGTTTAATTGCTGTCTTACCCAATCTTCTTCTGACCCATAGACTGGCCAAAAGACATTTTTAGAAATCTTCTTCCCTCCCCATATCTTAGTACAATATTCTATCATTTTCTGCTTATCTTTCCCTAAGGTTCCAGGGAAATATCTCCAATTGTCTAAGATATATGCCAGAGGGGTATTCTTAGGTACAGTGGGTACCCTTCCCATGGGAGTCGAAGGCTTGCTGCCCTTCGCCCCCATCTTCTGGAATATCCACAAACACACACTCACTCACTCCTCTTGTTCCTGGCCCAGTCCCTCGCGGGAGATGGGAAACGCAGTACTTAAGGGTCCACACTCGCTTGGTTCAGTATATCGAACCTCTCATTCGTTATATTCCAGGAAACCCAATCCCGCCCGAACGGCAAACCCGCGAGCAAATTCGCAATATACTTACGCGTCCTGCGTCTTCGTCCGGACTCCCGTGCACAGAATTTTATGGGATTTTACCGGTTTCTCCTTTGCTCATTATTCTAGAATTTAGGTTCGTCGGTAAGGTTGGGGTAAGCTATTGGTCGCGGGGCCGCGAAATGTCGCGGGGCGCCTCCCCGGAGGACCAAAGCCCACCATTCCTTATCCGAGTCACGGCACCAGAAATTGTTATAAATTGTGACCACAAATGGATCATAATCCAATTAAAATTTTATTAATTATAGCAAGTAGAATATGAGCAAAACAGCGCTGGACGACAGGGGAGTCTGCGCTCCGCCAACTGCCGCCCTGAGCAGTTCAAACAGCCCTCTTTTATACATCTTTTATGCTTGCAGAAGCATTACACAGCATTTTTTATGTTTGCAGAAGCGATATCTGGTCCGGCCCAGACACGGACAGGATCGACAGACCGAGAGCTTCCCCTCGACTCTGTGGGCGGTGGTGCTCGGTCGCTCCCAGTCGGTGTAAGCGATTGCGGTTATCTCATCTTACAGACCGAGAGCTTCCCCTCGACTCTGTGGGCGGTGGTGCTCGGTCGCCCCCAGTCGGTGTAAGCGATTGCGGTTATCTCATCTTGTGCAGGCTATGTCTGGTGGTTGTTTGCAGAAGCAATTTCATATCTTTTATTGCCTAACTTTTACATCGAGCTTAACATAAGTCTTAATAAACAATATCCCTAGTTCTGAGTTTCTTACATCACGCAACTTTTTCTCACTTAGAAATCAGAACCTAATTTAAAACCGCAGGATCACAGAAACATCTTTTTTGAAGGTACCCGGATATGAAATATTTCAAACAATAGCAAACCAGACATGTAAAAGCGAAACGTCAAGCTCCCACAGGCTACGCCTTCAACATCATCATTGATAGGCAGAGAGTTCAACAAGCATTCAGCATTCAAAGTACCTGCTCCAACTTCTTGCTCTCCTTCAAGGCTGTTTTTGATACTGCCGTATTGCTCCTCAGTTGCCCGGTTGCCACGCATTTGAGACAGAATTCTCCGTGCCCTCTGAGCCTGGCCTTTCTGGATGAGCCAGCGGGGACTTTCGGGAAGGAGCAGGAACCCAAAACCCTGTCTGTGTAAGTGCCGGAAGAGCCGAGAGGCCCCGCAGGGCCCTGGAAATCAGACGAGCCCCGCACTCCGAGCGGCAGGGACGGAGGAGGAGCGCGCCCCTCTCGCCGAGCCGAGGAAGGAAGGAGCGGAGCCCGGCCCCCGGCAGTGCGACAACAGCTTGTGCCGAGGGCTGGTTCTCAGCGGAGCGCAGCGGGGGAGCTGCTCCGCCCCGAGCCAGCCCCTGACCAGAGGCAGGGCGCCTACGAAGGGTTGAGCGCCGGGCGCACCTCTCTGATCTACAATCTCATGCCAGGTTAATTCTCCCAGAAGAACCAAAGCTGCATTATGGAGCACACAGAATCATATCATACAATGGGTTTTGTTGGAAGGGACCTTAAAGAGCATCACATCTGGTTCCAACCCCCTGCCATCACAGTGTTAAAAAGGCAGGGACTGACTTCAGTACAAAAGAAACATCCTGCCCAAGACAGCCTTCCGATACAGGAAAGGTCTGCCTGAATATCAAGGCTTTGACCTTAAATATTTGGGCCTCTTACAGCAGTGTCTGAGGAGAGCGTCTGAACAGCAGAACAACAAGGAGAATTGCCTTTCTGGCAAGGCAGAAACACTTTTCAATACTCATTTTTCCTCACAGGGAAAATTCCCCTCCCCAGTCCCAAGGGAAAGCCTGTAAGGAAAATAATCAGTTGTTTGTCTCTGCGCTGCACCACCTGACTTGTTCAGTTTGGCAAGTGACTGGCTTCAGGTATTTCTTGTGGGAAATAGAATTCACCCCCTGGGAGATTTACTTCTTTGCTTAATAAACCTTTCATATCTATTATTGAGGGTTTGAGCGGTGAGAGCAAAGTTACCTTTGCACAGAGCAAACTCCTCAAGTCCTGGGGATTTAGCACAAAGTCCTGCAGTAAATCCACACAAATTACAGTCTTTCCATAACAAATCAAGCAGGCAGTGAGCAGAGCCAGCTTTTCAGGCCCTGGAAATACCACACCGCCAAAAAACTCAAGAGTCATCCTCTGGTCTGCCGGTGAAGGCAAAAGACCCACCTCTTCCCTTTCACTGCCATACAGGCAGAGCAACAGGCAGCAGCAGCAGCAGCACAGTGTATGGGAACACAGAAGCCCATTTTTGATGGGTCAAGAGCAGAGGATGTCTGACACAGGGCACAGACACAGGCAAGGACCTCAGCATTCTGTGGGAACCTTAGGAAGGCCAAGGGCAAGGTTTTGCATGTGGGTTGGGGCAATTCCACGCACAAGCACAGGCTGGGGGAGAATGGATTGAAAGTAGCCCTGAGAAGAAGCACTTGGGGGTGCTGGGCCTGGCTTCAGTGGGCGCTTGAGCCCAGAACCCCTCTGTGTGCTGGGCTGCACCCTCAGAGCGTGAGCAGCAGGTCAAGAGAGGGGATTCTCCCCCTCTGCTGTGCTCTGGGGAGACCCCCCTGCAGTCCTGATCCAGCTCTGGGGCAACAGCACAAGAGGAACGTGGAGCTGCTGGAGCAAGTCCAGAGGAGGAAATGGAGACGCTGCGAGGGCTGCCTGGCAGCAAGGAACACTGCTACAACATTCCCAATGGAGCTGTACATGGACTATTAAAGTTCATGGATCACACGAGCGAAGAGCTGAAGTTCACACCCACGGAGCTCTGGAAGCAATACTGCAGTGGCAAGAGGACAGCTAGAAAAGCTGACAACTTGTCCCTTAGTTCAGGCTCATCGGTCAGTGGCACCACAGGCAAGAACCACCTGGGGGGTTCAGAAAACTGGGTTAGACATCAGGCTGCCCACAGGAGCAGCACTTGGCTCCTTGCAAAACAGCCTTCTACAGGACTAAGACACACGGGGAGAAACCGGGACAGGAAGCAGACTTCCACACAGCTACTCCTGAACCCAACAGAAGAGCAGAACCCTGCAAGTGCACGTGGGCTTCCTCCTGCTCCAGGTACAAAGCTCTGGCTGCCACAACCCAGCTGAAGAGATGCTGACAGCACTGCAGTTTGCTCAGCCCACAGATGAAAGGCCCTGCCAGTCTTACACAGCACGGGACACTCTCACAGGGTAGTTTCATGCTTTTGTTCCACGCCATAAAAAGCCAGTGAATTAGTGATACATACTTGAACCCCTGCAGGCACCCAAGAAAGCCAAGAAGAGGATTGAAGGTGCTAATTCCAACGTCTTCTCCATGTTTGAGCAGGCCCAGATCCAGGAATTCAAAGAGGTAGGTGTGTTTGGATGACCGAGCGTCCATGATGTGATGTGACCTTCAGCTCTTCATGATGTTCCCCCTGCATGGCTGGCACATGGTGCTGTACAGCGTTAGGGTTTGCCATAGGAAGCCATCACCCCACAACACCCAAGGGTGCAGGGGTTTAGGATTGCTGCTGGATTTGGGTGATGGTTGTTGCTCCATCTTGTGAGGGCTCAAGGTGCCCTTGTCCCATCCAAGTGGAAGGGAGGAGGAGGAGGATGCTAAAGCCTCTACCTGTGCTCCCTGTCCTCCTCTTGTGCTTCCAGGCATTCACCATCATGGATCAGAACCGGGATGGCTTCATCGACAAGGCAGATCTGAGAGACACCTTCGCTGCACTCGGTGAGCCCCCCTTTAGGATCCTCCCTAACAGCTTAGACAGTATCAGACCTATGATGTGAGAAACCAGCTGTGAGCCCCCATTTAAGCAAGCCCCAGCAGTAACTGGACCTGCTGCTTCACTGAAAACCTCCTGATCCAAACCCACTTCTGTTAGCTCTGTGTGGGAGCAGATCCCACAGCAGCAGGCGTTTTATCCCAGAGATCCAGCTGCTGGATTGTACATGGCCAAATTCTCCCTGCTTTCTCCTAGTTAAGAAGGACCTGGTTAGGCTCATCCCACAGCAGCCCTGGGTGTACGGGCATTAGGGGCATTTATGGGCTTTGTGGGAAGCTGTGAAGTTGTGAGCTTGACTCTGATCACAGAGGCCAGCATGAACCAGTGATGGGGATGGGGAGTCCCAAAGACACCCAACCTCATGTAAAAGGATGTAGGCATTCAGTCCTGTTCACTTCTGACACAGGGAGGAGCAGCACTGTTGGTTTCAACCCAAAACATCTTCCAAGGAGGGCTGAAGCAGGCTGCTCCATAGGGCAGTGAGGGAAGGAAGCAGCACAGCTCAGCCCTTTGAAGCCCTCTTGTATGATCCTGAGGCTGGCGAAAGCAGAGATGGAAATGATGAAAATCAGCACAAGATTCTCCCATCCTCACTTCTTCATTGCCCTTCCTTGTCAGAGGTGGTTCCCCAGGGCTGTGCTGCTTCAGATGGGGGAAAATCCTCTGGGAAAGGCTCCCATGGTGTGTCTTTTAGCCTGCAGCAATAGAGCAGAGCCTGGAGGGCTGCACATCTCTGCAGCTGGACATGGACACCCATTGCTGCTCTCCCCTAGGGCGCCTCAACGTGAAGAACGAGGAGATTGAGGAGATGATAAAGGAGGCGCCCGGCCCCATCAACTTCACCGTGTTCCTCACCATGTCTGGGGAGAAACTCAAGGGTGAGAGGGCAGCTGAGGGGTCAGCAGGCACTGATACCATCACCAATATCCTGTCCGACCTGGGGGAGCCACACAGCTTCCAGGGAGATCCCTCAAATGGTCCTTGGAGGCTTCAGATGGGAGCTGCTAAAGGAAAGCAAGTGGCACTGGCTGCTGTACTGTGGCATGCAGAACACGGGAAGTGGGATGCTCCCATATCATGGCCAAGAGGTCAAACCTGGGGCCAACCATGGGATACTTGTGAAATGATCTCCCTCTCCCATTCCTCCCACACCCCTTAGTGCCACCTTCTCCCTATGGCAGCACAGGGACCCCCCAAAGATAGAGGCTATGGTGGGGTCTTCACCAGCCGCAACCTCTCTTCGCAAGAATTCCAGTTCTTATCCTCCAAATCGTGGACCTGGGTGCTCTCCCTGTCCTCAGACATCACAGATAGGACCAAGAGCATCATGTACCCAGAGCAAGTGTCCCCAGTGAGATCCCTGCACCCCAAAATTCACACTGATTTGCAATAGAGTCTCAGACAGGGCTGGTGCTGCCCATCTGGAGACCTGGATCTCATTCCGTGTCTCTCCAAGCTGTTGTGGGGTGTGAGCAGGTCTCCGTGCCTCAGTTTCCCCAACCTTTAAGAACCACAACAGGCTGCAATGCTGCTGCCCCCATAAGAAGGGATAAAGAGATCCCGCCGTGCCTCTGAGCCTGCTGACACACAGCCCAAGGCACGCAGCCTCCCTGCAGCTCTCCAGGAGGAATTGCAGCCCCAAAAGCCTGGAGCTCTATAAATACACCCAAAGATAAGACAGACGCCGGCTGCCAGGCGGTGGTGACAGCCTGCTCTGCAGCCACACCACAGCCCTGCCTCTGCTCCTCACCAGCCACCACCTCCACTTGAGGCCCCAGCTGCAGGGTCCACATTCCTGTGGCAATGATGCTTCCCAGCCTTCCCTTTCTACCCCAACGGCTGTGGGAAGCAGGAGGCTGGAGTTGGTTTCCTCCTCCACTGCACCCAATGACTGTGCCCATGTCACCCGCAGGAGCAGACCCGGAGGAGACGATCCTGAATGCATTCAAGGGGTTCGATCCAGAGGGAAAAGGGCTGAAATCTGCCTAGTGAGTGCAGGGGTTGCCCAAGGGGAGGGCGGGTGTCCTCACTGAGGCCTCCCTGGGGCTCACCACACTCTCTTGGTTGCAGCATCAAAGAAACGCTGATGACACAGGGCGAGAGGTTTTCCCAGGAAGAGGTACGAGCTCCTTCCCTCCATCCCGACAGACCCCCAGCCACAAACCCCTCCTGTGCCACTTTTCCAAGCTGTCTCCTTCCCCACAGGTCGAGCAGATGTTCGCAGCCTTCCCTCCGGACATGTCTGGCAACCTGGATTACAAAAACCTCGTCCATGTCATTCCACACGGCGAAGAGAAGGACTAACTGGGCACTGCGAGATCGCCTCTCTGGCTCCCACATGTTCCGTGGGGAGCGTGTGAATGGCATCCACATTAAACTGCCTTTTGGCAAGAAGAAATTCAGCCGCTGGTGTGAACAGTGCTTGGGCTTGTGTGGTGTGCCTGTGTGGCAGCTGCAATCTGTTTTGCTCATGGAAAAGCAGCACTGCCTCAGCACCCGGACACCCTGGAGATGCCTGTCATTGGGAGAACAGGCACTGCCAACGTGGGGACAGAGACAGAACCAATATAGGGAACAAACTAAGGATTCATATCCGCTTCTCTCCTTTCCTTGCACAGGGGAGCTGTGGGCTGAATCCCAAGAGCTATGATAATCCCTTCCTCATAAGCTGGAGCGTGTGCCCAGCTTCTTCCCAGGGAATTTTGTTGGCAAAAATCTGAAGACGAGAAGAGGTGAGGAGCTGATGAGGGGCGCGTGGCAGGGCAGGTGTGTTGCAAAGCTGCAGCCAGCCCCAGAGGAACTCACCAGGCAAAAGAAATGGGCAGTGATTCAGAGAAAACTCCAGGAACAAACTTGCCAACAAAGTTTTCAAGCTGACAAGCAGGTATTCTTTATTGCGGCGCTGGGAGACACGGGGGATAACTCCTCCTAACGTATGTCCCCCTATTGCTATACAAGCCAACCCTATATAGTCCCTGGGCATACATACATATTCATGAGGCTACGTATGGATTACATCATTTTCCAGAGAGCTCCCCGCATGCGTACAGAATTGTGGTGGTCTCTGAGGGTCGTTTACTTTTTCCAACAATCTTCATCACTTCTGGCAGCCTTTGAAGCACACACAGTAGATGCTCATACCAGTTTAATTGGTTCGTTAGCACCACAGACATAATAATCCTCCTATCCTCCTACTTATCAGTTAGTTTAACTGTAGCCCATCCTGGACACCTGCCATTCCCAGATACTCCTTATCCCTGTGTCCTGTTCTTCTAGACTGTTTTTCTTAAAACTAGGCCAACTATAGCGATTTATCTTGTGAGAATTCTCACTATGTTCTCTAGTTGTACTCTATTTTTTTCTCTATGTATCATGCACCTCAGTAATTTTTCATTGCTACTGTTACAAAGCCATCAAACTTAACATTACTTAAAACTACTTATAAAGGTTTTTATATCCCATTTTGTGATTTTGTGCCCCTTTGTCTCAGCAGAGATCCCTTGAAAGTCTGCTATTGGCCCGCAGACGTCCAGGTCTGCATCTGACCGGTGACACAGCACGCATGCTGGAGGGGAGAGAACAAATGCCACTGGGAATGAGCACCTCTGTGGGGCCGGGGACACGTCCCGGGGGATTGCCCCCAAGGGCTGCTCTGTCCATGCCTACCTGGCTGCTGGGCAGGGCTGGAAGCCTTGGGGAGGAAAGGGCATTGCAGGCACGGGTGTCCCAGTGGGTGCCCACTGCCCAGCTGGGTCCCACTTGCCAAAGACAGTAGGGGCCCTCCCAGAGGGTGGCGTGGGAGCTCCTGACACCCCCTGCCAATGCTCCTGGCCCCACGCTGACCGCCCCAAGAGTCCCTCTGAAGCCTGTAGGAGGGGGACTTTGCTCTCACCCTGCTCCATCGACTCGGGTGTCTTACACCTCCTTGCGGATGTGTCAGACATGAACGGTGGGTGTTTGGAGAGTCCCCGTCCCAGCATTGCTGGGGCGTCTTCCCCAAATGCTCCTCTGCTACCTCTGAGGGAGAAGCGAGACGTGGGTGAGCTTGCAGCGCATCCATGAAAACGGCTCCCATTTTTTCAACTGCTTTGGCTAATTCTTTTGAAACTGCAGGGTCTATAGTACTGGAATCTCTTAGCAATGAGCCTTTCTTCACTTTCCTAAAATTAAGATTTATTGTTAACTATTTGTTGTACAAGACATCTGCAACTATTATCACAGTACTGGCTTTCCTCAACATAATAAATGTACAGACACTTTTTGGTACACTAATAAACAGAAAGCTTTAAACGTTATTGAGCAAGGTCTGCTCAGTATGTACACTGCTGAGTATGTATACTGCAGTTCTAAATGACTCAAACACAATAAACTCTGAACACAAGAAAGGAGATGCTTCCTAAACATGATTATTAAAAAAATGACACAAAAAAGGTGCCTTAGGAAAACTTGCCATAGCATCACAGAATGATTAGGGTTGGAAAGGACATCAAAATTATCTAGTTTGAGCAGTATACCACATAAGGATCATCTAAGATGTACTGCAAGCAATTGAACTAAATGGTAAAACAGCCTAAAATTTCATATATACTAATATAGTTTTCGTTCTATATATATACATTATCTTAAGTACTCATCAGAAAAGCCTGACTGCATTATTTTAATCATTGCTAAAATTTATTCAACATAAAGGTCACCACTAACACCACAAAAACCCATTGCAGTTCTAAAGTGAAGCAGGGGGGGAAACGTTAAATTCCCCCATTGATAGCTAGTAAATTTAGGCAGAAGAATTGTACCCTAAACCGTAGAACACAAAAAGTTGTATATGTGTTCAAAAAATGCAATTAAAGTAAAATTTTCTAATGCCCTCAACAATAATAAAAATACTGTATTTTTATCCCTCTTTCCATTCAATTGCATGACTTCATGTCCACTGGACCAGCAACCACCATGAAATCAAACAACATAATTTTTTTGTCATAAAAAGGCAAGTAATTTGAAGCTATGCATAACAGATGAAGAGCTTTGCTGCACCTTGTGTGCTCTTGACAGTACAGTGAATTTCACAGAATCAAACTGCCTAGATTGCTGGAAATAGGCTCTGAATACACACATACAACCGTGGGCTCTACTGCTGCTTCAGATTCAAACAGTGCCACATACTAGGCAGAACTTGTCCTTTTTCACAGACGGGATGAGCTGCTGCAGTTAGTCTGAACACATGTAAATGAAAACCACTGTGGTAGATACAGAGCTACATCATCTCCCCTAACATTCGGAATAAGGAGCAGTTCCTTGGTAACACAACAGGATGAGAAAGTTAACCTTTAAACACTCAGAGCCTCAGTGTTTTCTTCAGTAGATAAAGAAACTGACTTCTTCAGAATATGATCAAAGTCAAACCAATCACCAAGGACCAGGTCACTCTAGTGTGACAATTAACCACTACTGTCAAATTACGCTTTCTTCTCTTGAATACAGTGGCTGAAAAACTGCAGCAACACAGGACTGCTTTCCACATTCCCTGCTCCCCCCTGCTCTTCCACATCTAGGTCCTCAAAAGATTAACTGGCTGTATTATATCAGTAAGTACTGCAAAGTCTTCAAAGCACTGCCATCCTGGATACAATTCTCCTGCAGCTGCTTGCCCAGCATTGTGGGGCTAATCCAATTACCCTTCCCTGAAGAGTCTAAGTTATGGATACTTAGATCTGCTGCTCAGTCCTACTTTGTGAGGAATTAGCTATGGACAGTAAGGGAAGGAAGCAGCTATTATTTCTGATATTACAAGAAGAATAGAAATACTCCTCCTCTACTTCATTTTCTTATCAGTCCACCTTAATATTGCCTATCATAAGTTTTAGACAATCTACTGTATTTTTGTCTTCTGTATGTTTCTTCCTTTACATTATTAACCTGGATAGCTGTGAGATCCTACATAATCCTCAGAGGTACTGAGTAGCCTTAATTAGCCTGCCAGGAGCAGTGCACATGTGGCCAGAAAAACCTTTTAAATACTATTTATTTTTTAATTTGAAAAGTCCAAAAACTGTGAGTATTAGAATTCCACAAACTATGGATTTTATGCTCAGTGGAAATCTCTCCACAAAAGTTAAATAACAGTTTTGCATTAAACAAACTCTTCAGATAATTTCTTGTGTAATAAACAGGCAATAGGAGTATAAAACAATAAAGCCTTTTCAGGTATTCCATGTTAATGTACTTTAATACCATGAGAGAAAATGACATCTCTTCAGAACACTTAATTTACAGAATTTGAAGTTAAAGAAAGAAGCATTGAAGCAAATAATTTTTGCCAGCAAATATCCTAATTACACTTGTCTGTAGTACAAGTACAGTAAAAGAAACATGCAACTGAGAAGGTAGATAATAGTTAAATTGCTTCAAATTCAGATGAGCTATTATTCTACTGAAAATAAATGAAGAGTTTAGCTAAAAGCCATTCAAATGCAAACACAGATTAAGAGAACTCATGTAATTAGAAATATCAATAGTGAAAAAGCAGGAAAACATGATGTGCCCTGAAGGCACAACAAGAGTCACAGCAACAACAATCATTTGACAAACAATGTAATACAGCCATGAGCAGCACTCTGACTGCTCCAAACTGCAAAAAATTCTTACTTTAGAATTCCATTTGCTCCTGTGTAAACTTCTTTTGCATTGGGACTTGAAGGCAGCATGGTAATAATTCTGCCTGCTCTTTCTGCTACATCTGCTGGGGAGTCTGTTACCTTTTAAAGACAAAAAAAAAACAGAAAACCAAACCTGTATTAAAGTTATGCAGGCTTACACTTCCTGAAAAAGAGATGTCAGACACATTTCCTGAGTTTGCTTTTAATATTTACAGGGCATTGGTCACAACAAAGCTGGGTAAAAAAATATAACACAGGAAAGCCCGCCCTCCTAATCAAAATGTTGATTAATTGGATCCAGTAACAGAAAACAAAAAAAATCTGGAAAGGATGTCCTACCACAGAAGTCCCTCCAGAACATCTGTCAATGGGGATGCTTGCATCCCACCAATCCATTCATGAATCTTCAATTCACTGTAAACCACCCCTCTATATGAAATATTACTCTAGAACATTTCTGAAGAGGGATAACAGGAAACATCACAAAAATGTCACTTTTTTTCTTGTCTTATGTACAACACTGGAGGACAGGAAGACTGAGGTAAAAGAAAATATTACTTAATGCACCTTTCAGCCTCCCCTTAGAAAAAAATAATCAGATGAACTGATGTTCCTCACAATGCTACAGTTGACATTTTTAAAAAGGAAAATTATCAACTCATGCGTCCGTCACTAAAAAGATCTGACCAAGTTTCAAAATATATCATTAGGTATTGGTAGCTAAATAACAAATTGATGACCTCATT